ATCCATCCATCCATCCATCCATCCATCCATCCATCCATCCATCCATCCATCCATCCATCCATCCTCCTTTGCTCCTTCTCCAGTGGTTTAGCTGAATTTCCCCCTCCCTCCAGTTCCCCCTCTCCCTTTCCTCAGTGCCGCGTCGTCAGAACGCCATGGCCCAGCGCTGGGAAGCCTCGCTCTTAGCCAATCAGAAGAAGGAGTGAGTCAGAGGAGATTTTTAAACCAAGATGGAACCCCGTGCTGTTCTGTGGTCGCGGTGCCCCAGAGTCCTTCAGGAGCAAAGGTTGTCATCATCCAAGCGGATGCTGGGCAGATCCAGAAGATGCAGCATTTCCCCTGTTTTCCATTATGTCTGTTTTCCAGGAAGTGTTGCTCACCTTTTGTTAAAAGCTGATGTGTCCAACTGTGACTTTATTCTCTGATTTCATCTGATCTGTCCTGAACTGACCCCCAGCAGAGCCAGCCCAGGGTTACATGAAGACTCAAGCAGCTAAATGTCCTTCACTTTAGAACATGAAAGGAGCAATAGAAAACATTTCCAGGTTCCATTCTTTGCTCGATACCACAAAATAGTTCACTTCTTTAAAATAAATTGTGTTGCAGGTTAACATCACTTATGCTCATGAATATTATTTATTTATGAATAGAAAACATGAACTAAAACGTGGTTTAGTTTATTTAGAAAACCAAAACTAGTTTTTAACTAAATCAGGTCAGAGAGAGAGAAAAAAAAACGTTCCGGTATTTAATTCAGACTCCGTGATATTTGCTCCTGGTCACCTGTGAGCAACAGTTCATAGTAAAATTCCTCTGGGTGGTGCATAGCAGCTGCTAAATGTGCGTGTGCCTTGGGCCGGCTCTGTGTTTCACTATAAACTTATATTCTAGATCTACTACTTCTGAAAAATTATGTTTTCCTTCTACTTTTATTATCCTGTGTTTAAGAGTATAAACCATGCACACCTAATATTTAATTCAGTGTATTGAACATGAATCTAGTTAAAACGTAATGCAGCTATTTTGAATGTTAGCTTAGTGGTTACATTTTAAGGTCATTTCCCACCTAACAGAACCGTGGCTATGCAATGGTTCAGTTTGCAGAAACAGACTAGCATAAAATGTTTGCTCATTTTTAAAAACTGGAATATGACCTGGAGCCTCTTCACTTGGTTCTGAAACAAAGACGTTCAGATTCCAGGTTCTTTTCAGAGCTCAGTGTTTAAGAACTGCTCAGGTGTTCAGGTCAGGACCTAACAGAGCGTCCGCCTTAATGGTGGACGCTCTCAGTGGGTTAGCGCCCCACAGAGACACGTGGAAGCAGGACGACCATAAAGGAAAACATTTGGACCTGATGATGAGAAGCTGCTGTTGAGCTGCAGACTGTCCAAACTCGGTCCATCTGTGGCTTTGAAGAAAGGACGTTCTAGAAGAAGAAATTCTACTGATGATATGTACAGATTTCTATCTTTTGTTGTGTTCCTATAATAGAGATTCTATGTATTTTTGATGCATATATATTTATTAACTGAACAATGCTTAGAAATCCTTTACAGCGGGGGTGTTAAACTGGTTCCAGAGAGGGCTGTAGCTGCAGGTTTTCCTTCCAACCAAGCACACCAGACTCCAGTCATCTCACCAAGGGAGTCCAATCTGAACATGACATGATATGAATGGAGGCTGGTGAGTTATTGTTTGGTTGGAAAGAAAACCTGCAGCCACACAGAACTTTCTGGAACCAGTTTGGCACCTGTGCTTTACAGAGTTCAAAGACTGATTATAACCCAACAAGCAGGTCTGGTAGGTTTTAAGGAGACCTTAATGTGTGGTGTGTGCATGTGTTCATCTGCTTCCTTTAGTATGGTGTCTGCACTGAACCTGCAAGACAAGCTTACTACTTTCTGCAACGACCTCCAGATTGTCTGGAGATTAAAGGTGCAATAAGTTCTGTGGTGAAACATAAGCTCATCTGCTGAGGCGTGGAGAGAGAAGGTTCAAAGCAGCTAGTTAGCTTAGCATGCATGCTCTGACTCAGTTTCGATGCCTGATACGGTCCAAAACCAAAGCTACTTTATTTAACCTCATGGTGACTGCCGTCTGCTGTCTGATGTTTTCAGAGTAAAGATATGATCCTCGGGTTAAGCTACCCCGGTCTAATCCTGCAGGTAATCAAAGGCAAACAGATTAAAATGTTTAATGCATAGAGATACAAAAGCTACAGGAACAAAATGTATCTTTGTTAATAGGATTCAGTAGCATGCTTAGTGTGAGGGATTGGTTCTGCTGGAGGTTTCTTCCTGTTCAAAGGGAGTTTTTCCTCTCCACT